GAAGCTGACATAGATGCGCCCATCGTTACTATGCCCGACAGCTCCGCATAACTTTGTGAATCCATTGCCATAGCATAGAATCCATAATTTTCCCCAAAATATTGATAATCAATAAATTTTACTATAAACAAACGCATGATTAGTGTTTTTTTATTTATTTTCCACTTAGTTTTCCTTCATTCAGCTATCTTCGGAAAACAACTGATAGCTGGCAATGCTGCACATGTTTCCGCAAGGGTTGCAGCATGTGGATTTTCCGTTTTTCGTAGCGTAGCTACGAATTACGAATTACGAAAATTCGGGTTCTAGAATAAGGGGGTCTATTTCATGAACGAAAGACACAAGATCACGCCTTAAGGAAAGAAAGAAAAAAGTTATTTTCTAGCTGTTGAAATCTCGACGCCATCTTTGTTGTAAGAAGTAAACAACGAAGAGAACAAAAAAAACGCGTAATTGTGGAACGCATGAATAATCATTTTTATTATGCAAATTCTCCTATAAATCATGTCGTTGTGTTAAATTATTCTTTACCTTATGTGTGCACACGTTGTCACAAGCGAAAATTAAGAAAATTGCAGTAAAAAGCCACCACCAAATTGTAAACAACGAACAAATGTAAACAAACGGCTTATGTCAAAATCGCCCTACTTTTTTCATAAGTGCGATTATAACGGGCCACTCTTCTGCTGTCGTGATCTTGTCTTTTTGGTTCATGGGTCTATTTGTAGTCAGAGCAATGGGTAACTCCATCCAAAGAACCTTACACACACTTGTAGTTAGGGTTGCCAGATTTTTTATGCGCGAAATCAGTGCGTTAGACTTTTTCACGTTAAAAAAACAGTACTTTTCAGTATATTTTTGTTCAAAGCAAAATCATGAATGTAAGTAACGGATAATACGTTAAAACGCCAGAGTAATTGTTTTTAACAATATTTTGGCATATAAATAAATTATAGCTCATAAAAAAATAAAAGTGTTATTCATTTTAACATGGGTGTACATATCATTGTACCAGAAGCCAAAAAATTATTTTATATTTAGAACATTTTTGATAAGCAATAATGATATAATTTCCATCTTCAGTGCTTAAATAGTCAAAGAATTCTATACATTTCATTTTAAAATTACTTTTAATATGAAGTTCACTTTAAATAATTTCAATTAGAAGCCGGTTTCTCTCTTTGCGCCAGGAAGCAAAGTTTAAACTTAAGAGTGTGTATCCGGCATCTGGTTATCCGGTACATTCCTACTCAAGACCTTCTTCTGTTCGCCCACCTATCAGCGCTAGGCACTCAACATTTGAATTAATTGGCCGCCAAGGCAAAGCCTTTTAGTGCTAACCAGGGATGCTAAATGAATTTTTCCAAATTGTATCAAACGTCAGAAAAAAATGTACCAAATCAAATAAAAGTGTATCAACAAAAAGTTTTAAACGCTCACAGAAACAACGAATGTTTAAAACAAATATACGTTTATTCAACGCCTTTTAAAAAACATCTTGTAAAAATATGCATATGTATGTATATGGGCGAATCTCCGGAACCGTGTGCTTTTTTGTCATTCGCCTTTAAATTAATTTTATTATTGCAGTTTTACTTTTTATTAAAAAATGGGGCCATTTTAATAACAAATGTGACGAGTTTTTGTAACTTATTCAATTTCTTTTACTTTAATAATGTCATTTAAATTTTTATAAATAATAAAAGTATTTAAAATAACAATTTTGACGTGTCACTTTGGGTACCTTTTGTACGTTTTTTGAGTTTAACTTTTTCAGCGCAAAATGGAGACTTTCAAAAATCATGGCAAATAGTAAATGTAATACTGGAAAATGCATTAGGCGTTGAGATAAATATGTCCTTCTCATTGGAAATAAACTGTAACAATTTGAAGTCTGTCACTCCTAATTATCAAAAAGGTAATATTTTAAATTTTTTTAATTTTTCACATTCAGCAATTACTAAATTTTTATTATTGGTTTATGTACATATTAACTACACATTAAAGTATAAAATAAGACCTTTCACAGCTGTGTGCCTTTGAAAATATTTGAAATATAAAACATATTGTCCGAATAGGTCTTTGCGTAAATGGCTTCAGAATTCCCCTTTTTTGATGGCACACTAACATACTAAAACATAACAGGTTGGCTTTAAGCGTGATCGTTAGATAATATTCTTCATAAAGTTCACTGAAAACGTTAAATACATAAAGTAACTTTTGTCTAAAATACCGCCATGAATTTATATACATATATGTGTGTAAGGATTTTCAGATCTTTGGGCAGTGCGGTTGGCAAATTTTTAAACATTAGCTCCAAAATAATATTTTCAATGGATCTTAAGCAAAAATTGGTTTTTCGTAAAATTTTTCTGAAACTGGGCGTGGGCCGTCCACTCATGTCAAATATTAGATACTGTTGAGTTTCTTACTTATAACTCTTTAAGCATTTGAGAAAAATGAATCACACAATAATTTGATGTTTCCTCAATAGATTTCAAACAATTTGATGTTTAATTTATTTTTGTGCATTCAATTTAAAATTTACGTTTTTTAGCGTTGGATAGCACAGTTCTGGAGATTTCGGCTGGGATAAATCGATACAATTAAATCCAAGTCCACTTTTCTCAATTTTCCAAGTAGTTTTTTACTCGATACTTTTTACTGCGATCCAAGTAGGTATCGAAAAAAATACTTGTATCGGAAGCGCAAAACTTATTATGCTTCAACATCTTTTTTGAAAAGCAACCCATCATGATTCAATAATACAAGGTTAGATAATTATTGACAGCCGCGGTTTGACACTCCCTTACAAAAGGCTGCATTTACGAAGGACAGAGAAAGGGGGAGGATGCAATCCCTTGTTGCGAAAATGGTAATAGAAAAGTACGCAAAGTAGGCAATTAGTAGTGAAATTCCTTTTGTAAATTCTAATGTACTTGCAGGAAATCTGGCAGTTTAAACGAAATATTGAACGAAATATTAATACATCTACGTGAATTACGTAATTTATGTGCTATTTAGCTGTATAAAAAATGCAAAAGGACTCAAAATTAAAATAAAACTACTATGAGATTTATGTACACATCCAATTTAAAAACAATTTATGTTTTCATCAGTTAAATGTGCTTCATATGCATATATAAATAAACATATTGCACAAAAGCTTATACTTCTATTTCACAGCAAAGCTACACTTTTTACAAGTAAATTTGCAAAGCAGCAACACTGTGCCACTGCTAAGGGAGCGGTGCGAGAGAGAGAACTGTCAGTTTATCGAACCTTGTATTATTGAATCATGGCAGCCCATTAGAGGAATGGGGATATATATGCGCACTACAGTAATGAAAACTATCGATGGGGCTATCGATAGTATCGACGGTTTCATTTTGCTGCCACTATAGAATTTTTCTAAACACTATCGATAGTTGTATGTTGCTCACATTGTTGGAATTGGACTATAAAAGATGCACATGCCTACATACATATATATGTATGCTGTGAACTCCTTTCCTTGTAAACATGTTCTTCATGGTTTTTGTTATAAAATGTGTTATTGAAATACATACACGATCTCATTTTGTTTTACAAAAGTTATTTTTGTGTAAACAAATAATCTTTATGGCTTTTGTAGTCGCGAAATGGGCTATTTAAGAATAACACCCCTATTCTGCAACCCTTTCGTATTCGGATTTTGCTACGAATCGTAGAAATAGTATGCTGCAATCCGAATCGTATTATCGAACTTTCGAAATCCGTAACAATGACATGACTGAAAACGAACGAGTAAGCTTTTTTGCGTAATTTTGTACGAAAACAATTCTGTGTCGGAGGCGAAATAAAAATTGTAAATGAATGTGTGTTTGCAAGAAATATTGGTGGTGTTCATTTAAACAGACAAATTTGCCTTTCGCATATACGTATATTTTTATCCACTGCTTCATATAAACGAGCAAAAAAGAATCTTTGTTGCCCCTTATCGAGAAACTTGGGTCCGGTTTAGTTATTTGTATAACGATTTTCGGTTGTTGTGTCTACACGTGTAATCAAAGGATTTAAATTTTTTTTAATATAAATGTATCAAATTCTCTACCACTAGCTTATTAATAAACTCGGTTTGCACTATCCACTTTTTTGCAAATTTTGACGGGGGTTCTGCGCAAAAATACTGTGGACGGCGTAGCCGGAGTGGTATGCACAAGAAATGTTGTATACCTTTGACATGCGGAAGCCCCTTTTCCCCGCAACATAGAAAGGAGAATTCTACTTAGTAAGGCTTATAATCCCTAAGCGCGGCCGAAGGCAGAAGCAAGCGCAACAGGTGGTGGACCTAACAAAATGCATGTTTTCAATGGCTTGGAAGAAGCTGTTATTGCATTAACTGGATTGAGAACCAGAGCTTCAGGCATAGCAGGAGTTCTGGCTTGTGGTTCAACAATTCAACCAGAAGCTAACATAGATGCCCCCATGGTTACTATGCCCGGCAGCTCCGCATACCTTTGTGAGTCCATTGCCATAGCGCGCTCTTACTCCGCTGCTATAACTGCAAATGCATCAGAATCCATAATTTTCCTCAAAATATTGAAAATCAATAAATTTTACTATAAACAAGCACATGATGAGTGCTTTCCACTTTGTTTTCCTTCATTCAGCTATCTTCGAAAAACAACTGATAGCTGGCAATGCTGCACATGTTTCCGCAAGGGTTGCAGCATGTGGATTTTTTGTTTTTCGTAGCGTAGCTACGAATTACGAATTACGAAAATTCGGGATCTAGAATAAGGGGGTAATACCATTTTCCGACAGCATCCTGAATTACTTTGTTCGCTCTCCCAATTACTATCGTGAATTACCCCATTCCCACGGCGCATTCTTAATTCGATTTGACAGTTCTCTGTTGTGTTATTTTTGTTTTTCTTCGCTACAAAATGTAAGTTATTGTTAAAAATTTATAAATTGTTGAATTAAATTGGTGATGTATTTATTTACTATATTTTTAGTACAGAGAAAAAGTGCCAGCAAGTGGAACCAGGCAGGCGAGCGGGCTTTATTGGAAATATGGGGTGAGAAGATGAGCGAGTTGCGTGGCTGTAGAAAAAATAGCCATATACTTCAGGAAATGGCTGCGGTGCTCGAAAGCCATGGATTCCGTTACACGGTGGCGGAGGTCAAGACAAAAATGCACAACTTGAGCGCCCGATATCGGTAAATATTTTTACTTGTTATTATGCTTATGAAAAGTTATTTGGTGGGCATTATACCCGCCGCGCATGCTCTTTTCGCGCGAGTGTTCGTGCTAGTGGCCCCAGCTAGCTGAGAACCGTTTTTCTAATGGCAGTGTCGCGAGTGTCCCTAAGCATGAAGGAAGCGGTGCATAAATGAGATCTTCCAGTATTTTTTGCCAGATACTTTCTATATTAACCAAGTATGTATATTCCATATACAAATTCGTTATCAGTGTCGGATTCAGAACTTAATTCAATTGTTTCCATCTTGCTTGGTTCCCATCGATTTTCACTGATGAACACATCAGCACGGCATCGTAAACAAGTGCAAGGGTGAGCATGTACGGCCCGGCTTACTATCTGTTTTTTTTTTAATAAGGACTTACATGTTTCCAGGTCAATCTTTCTGATGTAAGCGATATTTTCACAGTATAAAAAGTTTGCAACTGTTTTAAAAGTTGCAGATAGTTCTTCGGAGCACCATCCCGTCTCGTTACACAATTTCACGGTGTTCAATAATCTCCTCGACATAATAATTGTTTTTAAATTTCCTTTTTTACATCCATTTTAAAAAATATACTGTTTGCTGTAACTTATTTGTTTACTCTTATCTTTTATTTGTTTTGACAGTTTTTGTGTTTTTTGTTTTGATTTCTCAGCTGGTTCCGATAAATTTCCTATAAAAATTAGAGACTGCAGCGAATTTTTCGTAATTCGCAGGGTAATTGGATTTGAATTACCAACAAATGACGTAATTCGCTCTCAAAATTTTGTATGGCGAATTACGTAATTCGAAGGGTAATTGGAGTGCGAACTACGAGTGAGAGAGCGAACTACGTAATTGGGGTGCCGTGGGAAAGCCGTATAAGATTTCTTCCTGGCTGTTGTTGTCTTATATAGAAGAAACGAAGAAATTTACAGGCGATGGAGTCTGTCATATCACTTGCCAAATTTTTCTAGGACCATAAAAAATGGATTCACATTTGCATAATTACAAAATGTTGTGCCCAGTTTTACCAATCAATTTTAAATTTGTCCGTTAAAATGACAAATTTTTTAGGAGATGGTGCTATTTTCAATTTTAAGTTTGATGCATTTTGAAATTGGTTGGTAAAACAGGGTATTAGTGTTTTATCTAAACATATGTAAGAAAGCTTCGATAGTATCGAACATTTTGCACTATCACTATCGAAACAATCGAATGTATACACTATCAATAGTTTTCCAACACCAGTGCACTACATTTGCGCAGCTATATAAGCAAGCCCGTCTATACATAACGGTTGTTGGGTCATCTGTCCCTTGCTAGAGGCTTTTCTAAAATAAAATTTTAGTTTAAAAAACTAAAACCTCCCTATTATAATTGCTATTCGTACGGTCATCAGGTATGTAACTTGAGAATAGAAATCGCTGCATCTTTTAGGCGCATCAATATTACATAGTTACAGCCCGAGTTAATAAAAGGAAGGTAAAAAGAAGTACAACTATCAGGCATGTTCTCAAATTCGAAAATTTGAAATCGACTCGATTTCGATAAGTTTCTCTAAAATAAATATAAAAAAAGATAGAAGTATTGAGTCACTGAAAACACGACTCACAATGAAAATATGATTGGAAGTAATCTAAGCAATTTTTTTTCGTAAAAAATTACACTGTAATGAAGTACCATTAATAATGACATATTTTTGAGTTTTGACCTCCGGCTGAACCGCTGCATTTCTAAATTGTACCAAAAAGGTCTATGTGGTGTCAATGTAATTTTTGGTTTCAAATTGTACCAAAAAAGCACAATTATGGCAACTTTATTATCACTTTATTATAACCTCTGATATCTACATAGATACATACATATGTATACATGCTATACGCAACTGATTTATTTTCCCCTTCAACAAATTCTGAGGACACTGTTATAACCAAATTTTTGACTGTTATATCAGAAATAGTCTTCCCCTACTTGAGGAGAGAAATGTGTGCTGCACCGATATCAGCAGTGTGCTCTCTTTTCCGCCAGATGACACTAAACAGCCGAAATCCACACTGTGGGCGCCATTGTAAACAGGGCTGCCGCTTTCAAAATTTTTTTCTTACCAAACTTTTTACAATGCATTAAAAAAGCTACCAAAAGTTACCAAAATTTTACTGAAGTTACCAAAGTTTACCAAAAATTTAAAAACATAACGAAAAATTAATTTTTAACCGTTTTAATACAAATGAAATAGATTAGTGAATAGCAATAAAAAAATTAAAAAATACTTAGAATTGAGATCATTTCATTAACATGTACATTTGGTACACATGTTTTTACATTCATATGTTTTTGATTAGAAACAAATGTTTGTATATGCATACAAAATGTGATTTCAGTTTAATATGATTAATATTCAAGAAAACTTCTTTATTAACTGACTAAAATTGCCATAAACGCTCCCCTAAGAAAGCATGCACAGAATAGACTTACCACGAAATTAAACGTTTTTCTTAAGAATTTGAAAGTGTGCAAACTGCCAGTTGGTACGAATAAATTAATTTAAATGGTCATTCACAGTAATTCAAAGTTTCAAAGTGTCAACCTTGTCATCTAGTAGTTACAAATTAATTTAAATGCTCATTCACAACAATTCAGATTTAAATGGAAGAGTAGAAAAGGGAACTTGATAATGGCAAATGTAATTTTATTTCTAAAGATATTTGAAAATGTTCAGCAGAAGTTAAAAAACTTACCAAAAAGTTACCAACTCAAATTTGTGAAGGTAAAAGTTACCAGTTTTGATAGAATTCTACCAAAACGGCAGCCCTGATTGTAAACACCATCATAGCGGACATCAATTGCCGTTGTTGGGGGAACTTCATGAACTACTGTCACTTCTTCCAGCTCTACCCAAGAACGATAGAGTACAAGATCACGGTGCAGCGAACAAAGGTGGCGCCGTCAGTGGTACCGCTACTTTGGTTTTGCCGATTTTGACAGTTGTGGTAACTTGTAAATAAACCTTTGTTTACAAATCAGCTAAAGAGAAATTTAATTATAAGTGAAAAATCAGTTTAAATTGTGTTAATTTGCAATTTGCGAGTGATTTTTTAGTTGAAGACTGCTTAAAAACTAATTCAATGAAGTGCTGTGTGTTATATTGCGACAGCCGTCAAGATGCAAGAAGCGTAGATGCAAGTGTAGCGCTGAGACGAATCGCTGCATTTTGTGTACATAGGGCACGGCAAAGCCGTTCCCGAAATGTTTCTCTATTATTATATTAACAGCATTTCCTCACAAGGATTTTGTTTCTGATCCACGCAGCTTCCATTAGCAAGTTAACTAATCAATCCCGCAGAGATGCTGCTGCAGTTTTCTGCAGCAGCCTTAATTGCAAAGCAATGGAGTGCACTAAAATGTTCACTATTCTCTAATAGATTAGGTGAAAAATGCAATATTTTCACATTTAGCAAAATTAAAACACGTTTTTCGCTGTAAAGTGAACTGCTTTGGCAGTTTCAACTCGTTCTTCTTTTCGCTCTATTCTTTGTTTACTTGTGGTACACAAATGTCAACGGCCAGGACGGCGCAATCTTGTATTCTATCATTCTTGGTACAAGATTGCGCATTCCCGCAGAATGACATTTGTGGCAACGGGTAAACAAAGATTATGGCGAAGAACAATGAGTTGACAGTTGTGAATTTGCAGTGAGAAAACATGTTTTCTTCTCGTTTACCAATTTCTCAAGCCATCTTTGAATATAGCGAATTAAGCACAACGTTAACAAAAAATATACAACCACTCTTGAAATGTGTTCAAAAGAATAGGTCTTATTAATTAACCATTAATAATTTTTGTGTTTGTATTGCAGGTGCCGAAAAAGTGATAATATCTTATCGCAGCGCATATTTTCCTGCAGAAAGTGGTCGATGCTTGCTTACCTCCGATTTTAATTTTTAATTTGTGGTATTTCAACGTTTTCAACTTAACATGTCGTGTTTAAAAGTGGTCCGTAAAGTGCTCCATGCATATTACGCTGGTGCCTAAATTGTATGGCTTCTCCTGCCGGCCACTCTACCCACTTTCTGGCCAAGGCGTCGTCGCGGGGAAACAAAAAAAAAAACTGCATTTGAGGGCTTTACCCCTACGTCTGCTGCAATTCAACACACGACACGACATTTTTATAAAGTTTTTATTACAAATAAAACGTTTTTTGCTTCAGAACGCACGAATTACTTCGATATTTCACTTGAAAGTACACAAGACGTTTGCAATACGTTTGCACTTGTTTCTAAACAAAAAGTTTGTTTACGTATTGCCATAAATGTCAAAGTCGGCAAAACCAAAGTAGCGGTTTTGGGAATGCGCCACCTTCAGTTCATTTCACCATGAGCTCTACCATTGTTGTCGGTGCTATTGTTAGCCGGCAGAGTCACTGTTGTCGCCTGTGTTGCGTGCGTTCTGTCATTGCAAGTAGATCCAGTGCGATTTCTTTGTTCATCCAGTTGTCAGTTCCTGGAAAATCGTCACGGTGGTCGTACCGCGAGTAATTTTACGGGAAAAAATAAATAAGTAAATAATGCGGGGATGCTGCGTGTGTAAACGAAAGTGCGAAATTTAAGCACACACACAAATAAACCCGTGAAGACAACAGACAAAGGATAGTGTGTCGTTCTGTGTGCTTATGTACATATTTATTTCGACTATCCCATATGGGTAAATTCATATGTACATGCAAATGTAGATTCATTTAAAGAACAACGGAAAGTAAATACAAAAAAGCATCTGTGCGCGTGTATTTGTTTAAAATGTATTTTGAAAAGATATCCCCTGAAATACAGAAAATAGGTGAAATTGAAATATGCGTCAAGAAAAATAAAAATGCATAAAAAATAACAAATTCTACCAAGTAAGAAGTTAATATGTAGATGGTGAGAAATGTGCAAAGTTTGATATGAAATCCACCTAAATAATATATGTATGTATTTTGTTTACATACATCGGTGCTTATATGGATATGTACATTTATATATGTACTTAGGTAAGAATGAATGCATCCACGTACATCAACAAGCGCACCGTTATTTGCAAAAACCTCTGGCACCAAGTGACATACATACATATATAGATCTTTAGAAGTGCTCGATTCCGATTCTCATTTAATTGTTATTAAAATGTCAGTTTCAGCGAATTTACCA